ATATATATAGATTAATATATTTTTTTATTTTACTGTCACAGCTCTAACCCTCCTTTCTATTGGCTTGGGACCGGCAAAAGGGATCTATTTTTAGCCATAGAAATGTTTTTATTAACATCCCATCATGGATCAGTCAGCAGCAGCAGTATTCATTTCATGTCTGGATGGGATGATATCTACCTGCAGCAGGGAGAGACACAGCGTGAAGAAGCCTCCTGTYGGTGCTCTGGGACCGGGGAGGAGGAGCTCTCAGCAGCACAATGGAGAAATGTGTTCACGACAGAGTCTCTCAGTTTCAATAACACCAGAAAAAGAGTCGCTAGATTTTCACTAGTCACTTTTCTGAATAACAGTCTCTAGAGGGTCTGAAAAGTCTGTAAATATAGCGAGGAAGTCACTAAATCAGCACCGCTGTGTTCCACAACCCACCACCTCTCATGTCAGTGAGCAGCTTGTCGGGTCGATTACGTCACACATTGGAGCGGTCAAATTATCGTACATTATGGGATTTTTGGGATTATTGATCGTACATCGTACAGAGGGCCAAATTAKCGTACAAATACRATAATTATCGTACACCTGCCAACACTGGCACCAATCAACATGAAATTTGGCAGGGCTGTAGATGAGTCTGACCATAGAAATGAATACGTAGAAGCCTCGTTGACTGTGTCGGTCCGCTGCTGTGACAAGCTGTGAGTCCGCCATATTGGAGGTACCGCTGCGCTGTGAACTACTRCAAATGAATGGACTTTGTTTCATAATGCRCATTTTAACAGAGATTTACGTTAATACGGCACCATCATTTATTCAAACACACACACATACATGCGCACACACACACAATTTGAGRAAAACAGGTACCAAAAACAATGTATTAAAACTTCTTACAGGACTACAAAATACGACTTTATTGATCCCACACACAATTAATTTGTTTCATAAGATGTAAAGGTAAATTAGAGTAAAAATCAATTTATGTTACAATTTGTATTATTATATGAATTGTATTGAAT